AACGTCAAAAAAAAAAAGAAAAAAAATGGCCTCGGGCTGCAGTCAAGAACCCGGCAAAGTTTTTATCGATCTTCTGCGTTCAACCGTTTCTCGAATAACGTTTTAGTTGTTTCATTGGTGCTTGACTTCCAAAACTCAATAATTATCTCAAATTTTCCGACCTCTCTTGGCACAAAAAATGGTGCTAATATCACCTCCACCAATTATCAGTCAATGGTTTCGTCGGCCTCCAATTTTCTTTTGTCAATCAGAACATAGTTTTAGGTTGTACCCGTTCTACTGTACATTTTTTACGTGCCGGTTACATGTAGGGTGCCGTCTCTTTGGCTAAGTTTTAGAATTATACTAATATACTTATTCAGATGTTGCAAATTGATTGGCTGAGCTATCCTACACTACCAGCCATTTATGTGCAGTGACTGGAGGTCGCCTACCAAGTTAATACAATACAAATTTTATTAGCACTCCCCATGGGGGCTTTTCAGAACTAATACTACCAAATAAGTTACATTAGAATTAAAATGAAATAAGCCAACGTACCAAGGAATTATAAAAATGATATAAAATAAGGAAGAATTATGTGACATATTGTATTATAAAGATAACAATTCACGTAAGAGTTTACTTCGTAATCTTCGTTTAAAAACATTCAGAGATTCGGTTAGCTTAAGATTTCTTTCTAAACTATTCCATAATGACACTGTTCGATAGTACAAAGTCCTTTGTCCTGTAGAGGTTTTACAAAGAGGAACGTTTAAAAGTTGCGGGTTTCGAGTCTCACGGCCACTTAACTCCGCTCGCTTTAAAAAGAGCGACGAAAGGTAAGCGGGAGCTTGTCCAGTCATTCATTTAAAAGCCAGCACAGCATCACGATAATACAGTTGTGATTTAACTGGCAGCCAGCGTAACTCTTTTAGGACTGGAGTCACGTGATCGAACTTTCTGGTATTACTAATTATTTGGGTAGCAGAGTTAAATAGTAATGTTTTCACGATTTACCGAAATTTTTCGCGGAATATTTAGAAAAAATTGGATAATTATATTCCTGAGAAAGCTGGAAGAAGACATTTTACAGTTTCTTGACGCCAAGAATTCGAAATGTTGAAAAAAAAAAATGCGCGCGCGTATACAACTGCAAATTTCAAATAGCGAATCAGTCCACGCTTTTGTTCTAAAAGTGTGAAGTAATTCTTTGTAGAGAAATTATTGGAAACGATAATGTGAACTCAATTTCAGCTACAATTCTACTAAAGGACAGACAGACAGACAACCTTTATTTAAACACGATAATTAACAAATAAAGAAGCCTCGACTGTGCTCTGTTCTGTTGTAAAGCACGCAGGAAGCGGTAGAGCA